TGCCATGCAAAGAGAAACACGAACACCCACAGAGCCATACAATGTGATTATATGCTGAAGACATTGTTTTTTTGTTTTTTTTTTTTTTTTTTTGTTTTTTTGGTTTTTCTCCGGTACCGGGAACCCAACTCATGACCTGCGCTTGCCAGGCAGGTGCTTTGCCACTGAGCTAAATCCCCAGCCCCTGAAGACATTGTTAATTATCCTTTGGGACAATCTTACAAGGATTTTAAACAAAATCAACAAACAGATAAAATGTGTACAGTATTACTCAGGGCATACTGGAAAATTTGTGCAAAAAGTATGATGGGGGGAGATGGTTATCCAAGAAGTAAACAAATTGTCAACTTATCTATCAGTTAAAATAATTATTTCCACATTTTCCTGGATGCTACTTAGGAATTTGAATTGGAGGAAAGAAGGCTGAATGAGGACACTGAGTTTCTGGCTCTATCAGTCAATGCTCACTAGAGAAGCAGGTATATAATCTGTATGCTTACAGTGGTACAGTGGCCACCTGCAGTTGAGTGTGGGAGAGTGTGCAAAAGGGGGTCTGCACAGTGAAGATACCAAGGATCCAGTCAAACCTTGAAAGCCTGGAGTTTGCTGTAGAGTCCTGTGTGAGTTCGTAGCAGGAAGCCACAATCTGTAATGCAAGGCTGAAGAATCTGTGCTGGAACCCAGGAGACAGATGTTCAAGGCAAAGACAAAGATTGGAGCTCCCCTGGAAGAAAAAGATGTAGGCCTTCTTTCTTCTGTCCCCTTTTTATTCCATTCAGGCTACAAGTTGTCTTTTCAGTGCCATTCACATCCATCTCCATGTTCAGAAAATCCATTCGGTCACACCCAGAACTATGCTATGCCAGTCAGTTGGGTTTTCATACTCAAGTTGACAAAGCAGTTAACTCTCACACTGGCGTTAAAGTGAAACACCAAGTCTGCCTTTTGTTATTACCTTCATTACCCTTTATGGCTCATAATCTGACCTAAAGTGCTTAGAAGATCCAACATGTATAGTTTTTCCATTTTTCCCAAGCTAGTAACCTTGGCCTAGACTGAACATTCTTCCTCAGAATCAGCAGCTAATACAGGCTGCCTCAAAGTTAGTGTCCCTGAGGGACTAAATATACAAAGGGACAATGGCCAGACCATATAGAATAACAGAACTTTGACCCAAACCAGCAACAACTTGTTCTAGAAATTTACTATTATTCTGTGAGAATCAGCCCAGAAAACCAGTCTGCTGTGTCAGACTTGTAGGAAAACTCACCTCTATGTCTTGTGAAAATGCAGGAAGTTGAACACTAACATTTGTAATAATTAGCCAAAATTGCCAGGACTTGATTAATCACTCACAGCTTCCCTAATTTTCAACCCTACTTTCACCTGAGGACCAAATATAGCAAGCCAAATGTGTGCCACTAATCAGTCACAGAAGAAACCCCACTTCTAATTAGCCCCCCTATAGCTTTTCCATGCCAGTAGACTCTACTCAGGGCACACCTGAGGCCTTCCCTCTTTCTGTTCTAAAGTGTTCCCACTCCTGAGCCTGCCTTTGAGTCTCTGCCAAAGCGCAAGTTACAGTGGTTAATTACCTTGCTATAGTAAGCTCTGAATAAGCAACCTTTGCTTGTTCCTTTTTGATTGATCTTCATTTCCTTCCACACCCCATTGCTTCTTAATATTTTTTTAAGGTCCTCTTTGTGATTTTCTGCTTTTAGAGAGCAATAACCATATTATTAAGAGTCGGGGTATAGGGGCAAAAATCATATATCTAGGATTCAGATACTGAATCAGCAACCAGCTAAGAAGAATAATCATTTTATATATTTAAAATGGGGATGAGTGTTGGAATTGCTGAGATTGAAGGAAGGACAGCTAACAAAGCAAGAGAGGGGAAATTGTTGTAATAGTAGGATCACTCCTGGATTGGACCCGTAAGCCCATACAGGCAGTTATTTTGATGGAACTTTACCACTGCTAAGCAGAAAAGAGGGAGATTCCCTCCCAGAACTGTACTAGAACCCACTGCTTCTGTTCACACTTTCCTCAGGGTCAGTATGTGAAGTCTGGAATAAACTGGTAATTGGCAAATAATCAGGATAAAAACAGTAACAAAATTTATTAATGTGCATAAGCAAAGAAGTCACACAAAATATGAAACTGAAAGGGCCAGATGGTTGAAGCTCAAATGACTTCTTTCCAGAGGAAAGAAAGGTAAGGGGGTGTAGGCAAGTTAGACAAGAAATTAAAAAAATGATTTTGGGGGACTGAATGTGACTAAATTTGACTGGTAAATGAGTCCTTTTGGAATTTGAGTGGGCCCAAGAAACAATAACCTATGAAAAGGCTGCCCAGGTATGATTAGATTTGTGACAGATAAAATTTCAGGGTAGGGGACATGGAGGGCAGCTATGCTCTCTGTTGCTTGTCAGATAAAAGTATATTGGAGTCAAGTTTCTTCCAGCATCTTCTGATCTCCGCAGGTCTTTAATTTAAAACAGTCAGGATGCTGGGGTTCTGATAGAGTCAGAGGCCACCACAGGGACAGAGGACAAACAAATCCATGGCCCCTTAACCTGTTACTGATTGAAATCAAGCTTTGGATTTATTCTTTTTCAGACTCAAAGACCTAACAACAATTTTTACTATAATGAAACAAATGAAAATAAAGACTTCATTCGGGTCTACAGACAGCCAGTAAGTAACTAAGAGAAGAACAAGGCTTCACCTTCACTTTGCGCTGTTTCTTACCTTAAAACTTCACATCAGATCCCCTCTCAAGCTCTGCATCCAGGGCATTTTAATCATTTAAGAAGTGTTTGTCTAAGAGTTGACAAAAAATTGACTAATCCTTAATTTTCCTAACCTTTCTCATCTTTTTCAAGACTGAGGACACCAAGTTAAGGTCAGTGGTGCTGAATAGCCTTCAGTCATTGCCTTAAACCTAGACTGAAAGTGCTCCAAACAGAAGCAATGATTGCAAGACTAAAATGTTCCCGCAAATGGTAAGGTCTCGCAGCATCATCTTGCAAAAGCAGAACTGAGAAGGTGGTGTACTGGATCTGGCTCATCGCAGCTACTCGGTCCATAGAGGCGAGTTCCCTTCTTTTATGAGTGGGTCATTCAGAATCTCCTCTTTGGTGTGTATCTCCTTCAGCCCCTCAAATTGAATCCCCTTTCCTCTTTTCTTTTACTTTTAACTCCAAGAAATCTGCCTATGCCTCATGCTGGTGCATCCCAAAATGCTTTTCTGGGCTAAGCGCCTATGTCCCTATTCCATGGGGGCAAATAGGGAGTTGAGGCCCTTATTTCTTCTTTGGTGAACTTCCCTGGATCTGATCCTATAATAGTATTATATTTTGATGTATCATTTTCTCAGCCCCAAAACACATGAGATGGTGGTCACGGGTATGTCTGTGTTCTTTAAACAAGATTGAGACATAGAGATGTAATATACCAGATTTGCATTTTCCTAGTAGGAAATGAGCAACAGAGCTCGGCCTAGTCTTCCTTCCTTCTGATATTATGGCCTTGGGAATAGATCTGAGGGTTAGGAAGGGCAGCCTGCACCAATGAAGGAGAAAGACTTTAACAGGTCCAGAGCAGGAGCTTCTAACTTCTGATCTCCAGTCACCAACAGAGTTACAATGGATGCTCTAGTTGGTCTGTTGTAGGAATCCCTGACATCCCATCCTCTTTTGGAGTCACCTTAGGGCTAGAAAGATGGCATCTCTACAGTTCTCTTTAAGAGCCATTTACAGTATGTCCACTGAAAGATGCATTCTGGAGATAATCACATCCAGAATTTTCAGAATTATATTCTGACATTCAATAGATGATAATGAAGATGAATAATAAACAGATCTTATCTTTCAAAAACATTTGATTTGTTTATCTCCTTTACCCATTATTTACTGAGCACTGACTAAGAAATGGAGGTGCTATTTTAAGCATAAGGAATATAATAAGCATGAAAAAGGAGACAAAATTCCCTGACCTCATACAGTATACATTCCAGAAGGAAGATGGTGGCACTATTGTAATGAAAAATTGATAAGCATTATGAGAAAAGAGAGAATGGAATAACAGTCAGGGGAAGGAGGACAGCAGTGCAAAGGGGATACTGATGTTTCCAGTAAACAATGGGAAAAGCCTTGTTGAACAAGTAATATGTGATCAAAGACATGAAGAAGGTGAGTTAGGAAGCTAGAGGAAAACCAAGAACATCCCATGACAAGAAATTACAAATTCAAAGACTCTGAGACAAACTATGTTTGGTGTGATTGGCACTCAGGTCAACGTGATTGAAGAATGGAAATAGCAGTGAGGTCAGAAAGAATGAAATTCCTTTCCTAGGGGCCCAGAGACCACCATAGAGAATGAGATGCAAAGACTTTGGAGGGTTCAGAGCCAAGACTGACGTGACTGATTTAGGGCATGGTGAGATCACCATGGAGCCTATGTAAATGGGTAGGGGGAATATGTGGGAAGCGGATGGTGAGGATGCATGTAGGCTTCCACAAATGGAAAGAGGGAGAACACGAGGGCACGATTGCAATAATCCAGGCTAAAGACGCCCTATCACAATGACGGTGGAGGTGTCAATA